TGCCCCGGCAAGCTGGTGTCTCCCGTTGTAACCTCACAGCCAAGAGGATCTCGAAGCCCATTCTCTCTCTTTCTTCCTTTCTTCCGGCGATTTAGCCCCGCTGTTTCCCCAATCTTCATAAAGCGGAGCAGATAAGCCGGTCCCCAATGTGATATTCCCGGCCCCAGATCCCCACTGGCCTCGTTCTGGAAAGGTCAGGGGGATGTGGGAAAAAAATTCTGGTTCCCTCCCCTTAAGGCTGCAGGCTTTCGCTTTCCTTCCTCCTCGGAGACAGACAGATCTGCGGGTGCTTGGGGATCATGGCGCTCCTGGAGGTGTGCAGCCCCCCACCGAGGGCGAGGGCGGCAGGACAACTGGGCATTCCCAGACGCGGGAAGCGGGCTTCTCTTGGACCCTGGACCCTGGACACTACACTGTCTCCATGTGATCTCCAGAGCTCGCCCTCCCCTGGGAATGCAGGTCAGGGATGAAAGGGAAGGTGCGGAAGAGGGCGCTGGGGAACGGAGTGTCCACCCTGAGGGTCTCCGAAGCCCTGGGCCGCAGGAGGGACTTTGCTGTAGCAGTAGAGCGAGTGGCCTCCACCAGGGAGGCGGCCACGGAGGGATCCGGGCTGACAGCCCGACCTTAGCAAATGAGAGTAGGGCCAAAAGGTAGAAGAGAGGGGAGGGCTCCCATGGGGAGACAAAATATTTCGCTGCATTTTTTTCATCACACACATTTCACCAAGTCTTTATGAGGCCCTCATAAGACAGGGACAGTGGAGTGTTCTGGAAAACCTGTGAACGTTGGCTGTAAGCCTGGCCTCAGTCACTCACTGCTGTGTGCCCTGGGACAAGTGACTCCATGGAGGTCTCAATCTCTGTTCTGCAAAATGGGGATACTACTAAGAAACATGCTTTCTGAGGGTTAATTCCATTTTATGAATGGGAATGAATCCTTAAAATGTTAGGTAAGGCAATTATTTCCTCTCCTTTCTATTCCTTAGAAAATGGAAAAGCTTTCTGCAGTTTGCCTCTTCTTTTCTTTCTTCCATGTCACTTCCTTGTAGAGGTTGGTTATAAACTGTTCCATTGTTGATGGCTGGAGAATTCCTGTGATCTCCTCACTCCACACTCTCTAAGTCCCTGCTCCGGAGCCTCCTGCAGAAGGTTTCATTGTCCCTTCTTCTGCCTCTTCTCTCTCATTAGCCCACCGAATTCTTCCAGACCCTGGCCAGGAATGGAGAATGGGATGCACGGAATGAGATGGTTCATGGCACCACCACGCTGGCCTTCAAGTTCCAGTACGGAGTGATTGTGGCCATGGATTCCCAGGCCATGGCCGGGGCGGGGCGGGGGGGGGGAGGGCGGGTAAATTGGTGAGTGTGTATGTGTGTGTGCCCCATAGTAGAACCTGGTTGCAGCAAGGTGCACATGGACATTGATTTAGGACACCCAGGGAGGGCTGTGTGGTCATTCCTTCTCTCTCAAAACTCCATCTTCTTCCAGCTAACTTAAGGGTGAACAAGATGATTGAGATTAACCCTTACCTGCTTGGCACCATGTCTGGCTCTGTGGCAGACTGTCAGTACTGGGAGCCACTGTTGGCCAAGGAGTGCATGTAGGCCAGGACTCTCATCTCCCTTCTAAATCTACTGGTCCGTCCCATCCTCCATCCTGGATCCTTCAAATCACACACACCCCCGCCACATCCCATGCTAATGGGGCCCCTTAGTGTTTTGGTGCTGAAAAAAGTGTTCTTTCAAATCTTTCTGTGCACCTGTCAATAAGCCAGATAATTTAATTATTTAGCACTGACACCATCATTCTTGGTGGGAGAGTATCACTTACTAAGATTTCTTTATGTGGTTTAGATATTTAAATCCCAAATCTTTTCCTGATGATTAGATCCAATAAAACCATTCCTTTTGAGTGTGTATCTCGTCAATCATTTCCTGCCCATCAAGTGGGTCCATCAGAGGCCTAGTCTTTTCCTGCCACCACTGAGCTCTCTCTCCCCTAATCCTATCCTCACCAGGCTGTACTGTCTGCGGAATGGGGAGCAGATCTCAGTGTCAGCAGCCTCCAAACTGCTCTCCAACATGATGTGTCAGTACTAGGGTGTGGGCCTCTCCATGGGCAGTATGATCTGTGGCTAGGACAAGAAGGTGGGTGCTCACCATGTCCCCAACCCTGTATGAGATCTGATTCCCCATTGTACACTCTCACCTCCTCCCATACAAGATCATGGCATAGAGAATGCTGGGCTGTGGAATGTTCTGCAGATCCATAGGCTGGCTCTTGGTTCAGAGGTAGATCACTATATATGTTTCACAAGCTTGTCTCTTTTAAGAAGGCTGATTCCAAGTTTGTTTTTCCTTCTTATTCCTAAAGTTCTATAGTGCTACCACAATGTTGTCCTAGTCCAGATGTTCCTGTGGTAATTCTTATTCTTTTGTCCACTTTTCATACCTCACACTTAAGCCCGTGTGTTACTAATGATTGATGCCCTCTCTGTTCCAACCTGGAACCTTCTCTCCTCCACAGGGCCCTGGACTCTACTATGTAGATGAAAATGGGACCCGGCTCTCAGGAAGTATGTTCTTCATGGGCAGTGGCCGGTCCTTTGCCTATGGGGTCATGGAGAGTGGTTATCGGCTGGATCTCAGCCCCAAAGAGGCCTATGAATTGGGCCACAGGGCTATTATTCATGCCACCCACCAAGACAACTATTCTGGAGGCATTGTCAATAGTAAATACACTCCCTGGGGGTAGGCAACGGTTTTGTGGGTGGGAGACTCAGGGAGGCAGAGAGTGTGTGTGAGGGATGTTTCAGAATCAGAAGAGGGGCATTCAGAGTGTGAAGACAATGGTGACTCCATGTCCTTTCTCCTTTGCCTACAGGGTACCACGTGAAGGAAGATGGCTGGGTGGAGGTAGAAAGCACAGACGTCAGCAACCTTATACACCAGTACCGGGAGGCCCTTCAGTAGCGGTGGTGGCTGCCAGTAGCCGCTGCCGGGAAAACTGGTCAATTCAGGGAACTGGGCCAGCTTATGCCCCAGGGGAGGAGGGGCCTCACCTGAGCCCAGAGATGGAGGACCAGCTGCCAGAGTTGCTGGGAGGAGTTTATACTTTTGTGTGTGCTCTATTTCCAGAAAGACCTCCCTTCACCTTCTGGGGGCTCCACAAAGCTTAAGAAAGGAAAAACGGTTATAAATGTCTCTGTTGTAGCTTAGTGGACCTGGGCTGTGGTTGTTGGGGAGGGAGCAGGGAATAGAGAAGGTTTTCTTGAGAAGACTCAAAATCCTCACTAAGAAACAGGGCCTTACTGACTATTTCTCTGGGTTTCCTTTCCACACGCATCTCTCCAAGATCTCAAGAAGACTGACCGTGGTTGTTTGTTTATTATTGCAATTTAATATTAGGGTCCTTCCTGTGGGGATATAAGCTGGAGACTGCCCCATGGTTCACTGGTAATGGTTTGGGTGTTGGAAAGTAGGGCACCTAGAACAATTTCTTTTCAGTTTGTAGAGCTGGATGATAAAGCTTCCAACACATATGTGTGTGGTAATTATAAACACAGGCCCGTTTACCTTAAATAACATTCAGGACAGATTGGATATTGAGTGTAAAGATGGATATTAGAGGTTCAGTGTTACCCTGTGGCATGCTCAACGGAAGATGACAGGGTCATGACTGAAGAGACAGGTGATAAGGAAAACCCATAAGGGGGGTGAGGGCAGAAAAAGTAACCAGCTTAGAAAGTGAGACAGACATAGTGAGATTTTCTGAATGGTGTTGGGACTACAGGAAAGAGCATGGGTGATCACCTCCCAGAGGAGAGTTAAGTTCAGCTAAGGACAGGTTAAGTTTGAAAGTAGGAAGAGATCTTCAAAATCCCAGGATGGACAGGGTTGGGGAAACTTTAGGAATCCCCTATTTCAAACTCCACATCCCACCCTCAACTATATTTAAAGTTGAAATAACTTATTGGTAATCACACCAATAGCATTCAGGAATGGTTTGGAATTCAAGTGGTCCTTCCTTCCGGGATGTTTTGAGTTTGGGGGATAGTTTCAACCTGCAGAAATATTTTTGGAATAAACAAATGTTCAAGTTTCAGGGATAGGCTGTCGGTAGAACCTATAGAAACTTACTTACTGTTCTCATTAATGATAAAATCGACCAAGAAACAAAGTCCACTTCCCTCTTATGTTGAAGGCTTCCCAACATATATTGGAGCGTAACTTTTGAGGCATCTGAAGATGTGCTCTGCCTAGGGTGTGGTGTTGAGAAGGACCATAAAGATAAAGGGTCAGGGCCTTCTCAGGCGCAAAACTCTAAGTGGAAACCCGCTTAAGTGAGAGATGCTAGAGCTTTCTATTTAGGAGAGGTGCTTTGCATTTTTTGCTCAGAATGGGGATCTGTTTTTACCCCAAGGCCTTGCAAATGGGGGAAGAGGGCAGACAGTTTTCTAAAAACAGGTTCAGAGCCCGAGATAAGAAAATTCCCTGCTGGGCCTCCTTGGTGGCACAGCGCTGTGACATTGTCCGCAGCCTCTGTAGCACGAGTTCGATTCCCGGCAGCCAGGGAGATACCCACATGGTGTGGCAGACCTCTCCTGTCTCGCCCACTGCTCCCCTCAGCAGTATTTTCAGCCCGTCTGCCTGCTCTGCTCCCCACTCTGTCTCTGGTGAATCCTCTCACCCTCCCGCGCCTGTGGCCTGTACCCCAGTTATTGCATAAATAAATAAATCTTTTTTTTTTTTTTAAAGAAAGTTCACTGTTTCTTCGATTACAACGCATCCCAGCTTATGAAAGAACTTTAGCAATTTTTCTAAACCGCAGTAGTTTCCTATTACAGAGTAAGTGTTGCCAAAGGCTCGTGACTCACAGGGGGCCTGGCTCGGGCCCCAGGAGCTGGGATCGGTTTCTGCGTCTGCGGGTGTCGCGCTCCTGCTCGGGCCGCGCTTGGAATCAGGCGTTGCCGGGAAGCGAAAGCGAAAGCCTGGGCAGGGGAAGTGGAGCCGAGGCGGCGCGGGCGCTTCCAGCGCTCCGCCCTCAGCCTTTAGCCGGAGGACCCGGAGCCGCGGCCGGCAGGTGAGTGGCTGATGTCGCACCTGGGCGAGGCGGGAGGACGCAGCTGGAGCCGCCGGGCCGGGGGTCTTTGCCCATCTTCCAGCGGGCTGCGGCTCTCCCCTGCCCACGCCGTGCCCCCGCGTCGGGTCACGAGGGGCCGTGGGGGGCCAGGGAGCCGGGCAGGCGGCGCCGGGCCCCTGGGAGCTCGCCGGCAGCGGGAGCAAGGGGTTAAAAAGGACGGGGGACCCGCGGCCGGGCTCCTCTGCGCCCCAGCCGCAGCATGCCCGCCGCTGTAGGAGGGAGGTGCTGGGGCGCGCGGGCCCCCAGGGTATCTTTCTGGGCAGGATTGGATACAATGAGAACCTACGGAGGGGTGGGTGGAGTTAGGGTGGCGAAGTTGGGGACAGGGACTGGGGCTCCGCCTCGCCAATACCTCACTTTCCACCCTCAGGTAACGGCCATGCGGCTCCCAGACCTGACACCCTGGGCCTCCCTGCTGCTGGCCGATCTGGCCTTACTCTGGCTGCTCCAGGGGTCTCTGGGGTCTCTGCTGCCCCGGGGCCTTTCAGGCCTATGGCTGGAGGGGGCGCTGCGACTCGGAGGGCTGTGGTGGCTGCTGACGCTGGGAGGACTGCTGGGATGCCTGGGGGCTTTGCTGCCCCCCCTGTGTCTGGTGACCCCTCTGTTTCTCTCCCTGAGGGCACTGGTCCCCGGGGCCTTGAGTGCTCACCCGGCCAGAGTGGCCTCAGCCTCTTGGAGCTGGCTGCTGCTGGGGTACGGGGCTGCGGGGCTAGGCTGGGCCTTGTGGGCTGTGCTGAGCCTTCCTGCAGCCCAGAAGGGAGACCAGGGCCAGGAGAACAGCAAAGCCTTGATGTGGAGGTTGCTGCGGCTCTCCAGGCCAGACCTGCCTTTCCTCATCGTGGCCTTCATCTTCCTTGTTCTTGCGGTGCTGGGTGAGTCAAGAGAGGCATGGAGACTAGAAGGTGGGCAAAGTCCCCTTGCGCGATGCCTTCAACTGTATTCTCCCGCCTCTTTCAGGTGAGATATCAATCCCAGCCTACTATGGTCGCATGATTGACATCCTGGGAGGTGACTTTGACCCTCATGCTTTTGCCAGTGCCATCTTTTTCATATGTGCCTACTTCTTTGGGAGGTAGGTGACGGGCCATTGGGTCCTTTGCTAGGCCCCTTTCCAAGGACCCTCACTTTCCTACTTCCTTTTTCAGACCCTTTTGTGCACAAAACACCCAATACTTAGACTTAAATATGCATGGATTTAGTTACTCATTCTATTTTCACATCACTTCATTCATTCCTCATTTCACCATATTTATCCAACATCTGCAGAGTTTACATTCTATTACTGTAGGTGGAAGCCTGAGCGGATGTAAGAGAGGGGGCTTGGGTGTCACGTGGAATGTCTCTTTGCTGTCTCTCAACATCGCTTTCTTCTTTCCTGTCTCTTACCTCCCACCCAGCTTTGTTTCCAAAATCAGGTTGGGCCTCTTTCTTCCTCCTGACCCTTCCTCCTAACTCATCTTGTCAGTGGATGAAGATCTTACCTTGAAACTTATTTTTTTTCCCCAAGCATATTCATTCTTTTTCTCTTATTTGCCGGGACTGGGATTGGGTGCACATTGGGTGCAAAATTTAAGGAGGTGCTCGCTCCCAAGTTTATACTCATACCTCACTCTCCTTCCCGTGGTACCCCCTCCCCATAATACACCTTTATTATGGTCAGACTTCATTTAGAATGCCCCAAACCACTTCTTCCTCACACCATTCTGTACTTGCTGTTCTTGGCTGCCATCAGTCACTCAAAGGTACATTTATTGATGAGTCCATGGCTTCCAGAAAAATCAGTTCTCAGTTCTCTTTGCTTTTCTGCAGTATTTGTCATTTGAATAAACTTTTATTGATCTCTTTCTGCAGTGAGCCTTTATGTCTCTCTTCTTCTCAATCCTCTCTACCTACTCTGGACCCTTAAATAATAACTTTCCTCACAAATCAGTTCTTTAGATTTTAAGAACATCCCACCCTGTGCTAACTGAGCCCCTCGCTGTAGGTGACCCCTGTGCCAGCAGCAGTCTTGTCACCTCTTGCCCCCTCACCTGCCCATCGACAACCTCTCTCATCTCACACTCCACATGCCCAGGGCTGCAAAACCCCATGCTCCTCTCTGTCTTCTCTTCCTCTTCTTTTTTTTTTTTTTAAAAAGATTTATTTGTTTATACAAGAACTGGGATACAGGCCAGAGTTGAGGGGGTTGAGAGAATTCACCAGAGACAGAGTGGGGAGCAGAACAGGCAGAGGGACCAAAATATACTGCTGAGGGGAGCAGCGGGTGAGACCGGAGAGGTCTGCTGTGCCATGTGGATAGTTCCCTGGCTGGCAATCAAACCCGTGCTGCAGAGGCTGCAGCCAGCTTCACAGCGCTGTGCTCAACCCGTTGCGCCACTGGGGACGCCCATGTCTTCTCTTCTTGTTTGCACTCATGAACCATCGTATCCCAGGTCCCAGGCGGCAGCACCCCTGGTGCCTCTCTCATGCTCTTGCCCTGTCATATCTACTTTCAGAGTGTTTGGGCTGCAGCTCCTTTGTCTCCATCCTCACTGTGCTCACGTCCGAACCCTCATCATTTCACGTCCAGCTGTCCCAACAGCCTCCTCACCACAACGATTAAATTTGTATTAGGAATCCATATTTTGTAAAATATCTGCTTTCCCCCTTGATGTTTCCTTGTCTTATGATAAGTCTGGCTGGTGTAAGAGGAATTTTCGAACTCCAGGGAGGAGAGAGAAGGGAGGGAAGCGAAACTCTGGGGCTCCGGAGAATGTGAGAGTGGGGGTTCATGGCTGTGGTCCCTGCCACGCAGTATCTGGGACCGGGAAGAGGCACTTTGGGGACAGGGAGGAAAGAGACTGAGGCAGAGGGGGACCTAGCCGGAAAGCAGGCAGGTGAGGTCGGAAGCCACACCTTCTCTCTCTGTTTGTCTTCTCCTGGACCTCCCACAGAGTGAACCCCACCAACACCCCTGGATTTGCATGTTGTGATCTTGTCCCCACACTAGCTCACCAGGTCCTTGCTTTATTCTTGCCCCTCGTCCCCCTCCATCTTGTTTGTTCTTTCCGCCCCCTCATAGTTCTCCATCTGTGCATTTATTTCATCCCATGTCTTCTCTCCTCTGTGCTCCCCCATTCCCTCCTTCACTGCATGTTTCTCCTCCTCTCACCTGTTGTACCCCCCGCCCCGCAGCGCGCTGTGTGCTGGGTGCCGTGGAGGCTCCTTCCTCTACACCATGTCCAACATCAACCTGCGGATCCGGGAGCAGCTTTTCTCCTCCCTTCTACGCCAGGACCTCGGGTTCTTCCAGGAGATGAAGACAGGTGGGGTGGAGTCCAAGTCTGGGGTTCGCTGGACATTCCTTGCCTGTTCCCCTCACCTGCACACAACCTCTGCCCCCCGGGCTCCTGCTTGCTCGGCCTTTCTCTCTGAGGGGCAGGGCAGTGAGGCACCCTCTGGCTTTCTCCACAGGTGAGGGAGGCACCTGGAAGAGGGAGGCACCTGGAGGAGGAGGCTGTGTCAGAGGGGAAGGTCAGGGGAGAGTTTCTGGGGCTTTGGCATTACACAGGGCTTCCTCACCTGTTCTGTCCTCCCCAGGGGAGCTGAATTCCAGGATGAACTCGGACACCACCCTGATGAGCCGCTGGCTTCCCCAGAATGCCAACTCGTTCTTGCAGAGCCTGGTCAAAGTGGTGGGAATGTACAGCTTCATGCTCAGCCTGTCCCCCGGCCTCACCCTCCTGTCTCTGCTGGACGTGCCTCTTGCCATTGCAGCCGAAAAGGTGTACAGCCTCCGCCACTGGGTATGTGTGGATAGTGGGGAGTCCCTGGAAGGATCAAGCTCCCCTAAGGGTTTTCTCTTTTCAGCCCTTAGAGCCGCAGTTCTGACAGGCTGCAGAGGCCCAAGATCCCCACCCCCCAGGCCTGTGTGTGTGTGTGTGTGTGTGTGTGTGTGTGTGTGAGAGAGAGAGAGAGAGAGAGAGAGAGAGAGAGAGAGAGAGAAAGAGAAAGAGAGAGAATGCAAGCACATTTTTCTGTAAAGAGTCCATACATACCTTCTCCACAAATGATTAGGAAAGTCATCTTAGAGGATTTTAGGTAGAGACTGATCCCCTTTATCATCAACAGAAGGAGTATGAACGGTGTATAGGGGAGGTAAACTGACAGGAATCCTGAGTCGGAATGTCAGCTCCACCTTCTTTTAATTTTTTAAAATTATATTTATATAATTATATTTATATAAAGCTTACCTTTTTAACCATGTTTAAGTGCCATTCACTGGTGGTAAGAATGTTCATGGTATTGTGCTGCCACCACCACGGTTCACTCCAGAACTTTCCAAACTGAGCCCCCGGCTAGTCAAATACTGACTCTCCATTTCCCCCTCCCTCAGGCCTGTAGTCACCCTGTACTTTCTGCCTCTGTGAATTCGGCTCTTTCAGGTTCCTCTTATAGTGTCTGCCCTTTCATGACTAGCTTGTTTCACTTAGCATACTATCTTCAAGATTCATCTGTGGGTCAGATGTTTCTTTTTTAGGGCTGACTACTATTCCATTGATACATAGACCTCATTTAACCATTCACCTGTGGGTGAACACTTGACCGTTGTGACTAATGTTTCTATGAACATGAGTACACAGATAAGTTTGATTTTTTTCTTTCAGAGTTTTGGGTCTATACCCAGAGGTAGAATTCATATGGTAATTTTAAGTTTTTGAGTTCCCATATTGTTTTCCACAGTGGCGACACCATTTTACATTCCCACCAGCAATACACACTCACTTCACTTTATCCATACCCTTCTTCAAAACTGTCATTTTCCCTGATGCTGTGTGATACTGGGCTTCTTTTTGTGTGCTTATTGGCCTTTTTTCATGGTTTTTTTTTTGGGGGGGGAGAAACACATTCAAGTCCTGGCTCAATTTTAAATTGCTTTTTAATTGTTGGGTTGTAGGAGTTCTTTATGTATTCTTGATATTAATACTTCATCAGATGTATGGTTTGCAAATATTTTCTCCCATTTTGTGGGTTTTGTTTTTCACTCCATTGATGCACCTTTGATACACAAAAGTTTTTAGTTTTGGTAAATCCAGTTTCGTTTTTGGTAGCTTTTCCTTTTGGTGTCATATCTAAGAAATCATTACCAAAATGAGTGTCAGAAAGCTCAGAAATCATTACCAAATTAGTGTCAGAAACATCCCTGTGTGTTTTCTTCTAAGGGTTTGATGGTTTTAGCTTTCTTGCTTACATCTTTGATCCATGCTGAAGAATATCTCCACTTCTCTAACTAGCTGTAGCTTCTGGAAAACACTTATTTCTTCATTCAGATAGCAGGAGTGGTGTAAATCACCTCAAATGAAGGTTTAAGCAAAAGCACCGAGAGCTCTGCCATATTTTGTTCCCACCCTCCCTTACACTCGTTAGTCCTTCTGGAAAGCAATGCAAGGAAGAGGGAAAGAGGACAGTTTGGTATTGTTTAGGGAAATTGGGGGAGCACCCCAACGACTGGAATGTGACATGGGGTTCTGCTGCCTCTGACCAGTCAACCCCTTCCATCTCTGCCCTGCTTTTCCAGGCGGTGCTTCTGGAGATCCAGGATGCAGTGGCCAAGGCAGAGCAGGTGGTGCGTGAGGCTGTCGGAGGGCTGCCAACCGTGCGCAGCTTTGGGGCGGAGGAGCAGGAGGTCTGCCGCTATAAGGAGGCCCTTGAACGATGCCGACAGCTGAGGTGGCGCAGAGACCTGGAAGAGGCCATCTACCTGCTCTTTAGGAGGGTGAGGGCCTGAGTGGCTTGTGGGTAGGCTCCGGGAGGGGGCAGAAAGCCTGACGCTACTCCTGTTGCTCAGTGTCATAGGGGCAGGAAGGGGAAGAAAGGGGGAGACCCTTTTCCCATACTCACCCATCTTCTCCCTTCCAGATGCTGCGATTGGGTATGAAGGTGCTTATGCTGAACTGTGGGCGGCAGCAGATCCTGAGCAGGTCCCTCTCCCTGGGCGGGCTGCTCTCCTTTCTGTACTATCAAGAGGACGTGGGCCAGTATGTGCAGGTGAGTCAGCGGGCAATGCCTGCTCCTCTCTCCCTGACTCTCCCCCACCCCCTTCTTTCTGATCTTCTGAAACTTGGGCTTTTTTTGTTCTCCTTAAGAACACAAAACAGCAAAAAACCCAACTCATTTTGTTATGAAGAATTTCAAATACATGCCCCCCCCCCCACCGCCAAAGATAAACTATAACAAACCTGCATCACCTGCTTTGACAATTAGTCGCTCTTGGCCAACCTTGTTTCATCTGTATCTCCACCTACTTCCCTCACACATATTTTTTAGAAGCAGATTGGAGATGTAGTGTTCTATGTAAATATTTCAGTATGGATCTCTAAAATATAAACATTAAAAAAACCCATAAACGGACCTCCATGTTGGTGCAGGGGTTAAAGTCTCAGCACTATCAAGCAATCGCCAGCCACCGCAGCATCACTTCTATCCCCTGCCAGGGAGCTAACCCATATAGCGCAGCAGACCTCTCCTGTCTCTCCTGCTGCTCCCCTCAGCAGCGTATTTCAGCAGATCCATTTGTTCTGTTCCCCACTCTGTCTCTGGTGAATGCTCTCATTCCCCGCACCTCTGGCCTACACCCCAGTTCCTGTATGTATAAATGAATAAAAATAAATCTTAACCACCACCACCACCAACATAAAGCCCAGAACATAACAATAATTTCTAAAATGAATGAAATACAATCAGTGGTCAAATTTCCCCTCGCCTCATTCACACATGTAATGCAAGTATACGTGTACTGCACTTCTCTCTCCCATACCTGTGTATCTGTGTACCTGTGTCTGCCTACAGACGCGGGAGAAGCATCAGCACTGGGACTTGGTGCCTAGGCCCATTAGATCATCAAGGTGGCAAAAGGATTACCACCCCCTTTCCTTCCTTGATCAGCTGGAATGTACCTCTCAAGGGAGACTTCCCCTCTTCTGCTGTTTGGTTACCTGGTAGTACAATTTGATTAGGAAGGATAGAAGGAACATTTATTTCCTTACTTGTATTTACCAGTTATCAAAATTAAGGAGTTGGCGTCATCTTGGATTTATTTTGTGACTTTCTTAGATATATTTATATTTATTTATTTAGATTTTTCCCCCCAAGTTTCAGATATATTTATTAATCAGTGTAAACCCCCACAGAATACACCAACATGATTTCGTGCATTTAGAGGGAAGTATTTCCTGGTTAAGTGGAAAATTGTGCAGATGGCTTCTGGAAGACCTTCATTTTAAGCAGCTTTATAGTGAAGTATTTCATTTAGAAGTCAATTGAGGTAACACTGGTTTACAATGCTGTATATGATTAAGGGGAATGGACTCACACCTCCTCAGATGTATGTCACCACAGCACCCCCACCACCCAAGCACCCATGGTCTTTTACCATAGGCCGTTGGCCCTCCCCCTCACCTTTGTTCTCACCCCATCCTTCCCCTCTAGTAGCCCCATTTTGCAGTCATATTTGTAGGGTCGTTTTGGTTTAATCAGTTCCTTTGTTTTGTTTCTCCACGTGAGTGACACCCTATTTGTATTTCTCCTGATTTATTTTCTTAGATATTTTTAAAACATCTTTTATGTGTGCAGGGCTGTGCTAGGCCCTCTGGTGGCTACAAAGATGAGATATGCAAAGTGCCTGCTTTGAAGGGGCTCCCTGTCTTACAGGGGAGGCAGAACCCCGCATAAGTTCACAAAACAGTGACTGGAAGTCAGGGCAGCGCTGTGTGGGGGGAGTGTGGTTGTCTCTCCCCTTACATTGTAAACTGGAACACTGGGGTATTTGTGTTGCTTTTAAATTCCAGCCAAACTGCACATTGGAAAGCAGAGAATTTTTTTAGGAGGAGGGGAGGTGGGCGGGGTGAGGTGTGCCAGGCTGTGTGTAGAGCGTGGGGATCTGGTTCCGGTGGCTCTGATGGACGAACCTGTTCTGTTCTTGTTCTTCAGAACCTGGTATACGAATGTGGGGACATGCTGAGCAACGTGGGGGCCGCGGAGAAGGTTTTCCGGTACCTGGACCAAAAGCCCAATCTGCCTCCTCCAGGGACACTGGCCCCTTCCACTCTGCAGGGGCTGGTGGAATTCCGGGGAGTGACCTTCGCGTACCCCAATAGTCCTGACCGGCCTGTGCTCAAGGTGCCTGCGGGGGTGGGGCTGGGGGGGCCGCTGGGAGGTGAAGGTTCTTCCCTCACCCCTGCTGCTCAGGCACCATGGTCAGCGGAGCGTTTACCTCCGAGAAGCTGATCTTCCCGCTGCTAGAAAGAGAGGGGAGAAGAAGGAGCCTCCTGACTGTTTCCTGGCTTCTCTAGGGGCTGACGTTCACCCTGCGACCTGGTGAGGTGACGGCCCTGGTGGGGCCCAATGGGTCTGGGAAGAGCACCGTGACCGCCCTGCTGCAGAATCTGTACCAGCCCACAGGGGGGCAGGTGCTGCTGGATGGGGAGCCCCTGTCCCTGTATGAACACTGCTACCTGCACCGACAGGTGGGTTGGAGATGGAGAAGAAACTTCGAGAGAGAGCGGGGATGGTGGAGGTCTGGGGGAGGGAGGCGAGGAGGGCGTGAGGTGGGGGTTTCACACTGTCTCTGCGCCCCTGTGCAGGTGACCGTGGTGGGGCAGGAGCCGGTGCTGTTCTCGGGGTCTGTGCGCGACAACATCGCCTACGGGCTGAAGAGTTGCAGCGAGGAGAAGGTGCTGGCTGCCACCCGGGCAGCCCGAGCGGATGAGTTCATAGACGAAATGGAGCACGGCCTAAATACAGGTACCTCCCATCTAAAAAGAAACTGGAGCTTACCCTTGGGGTGAGGTTGAGTTCCCTTCACCGGATGCTGGCCGTTCCCTTGCCCTTCCCCAGCTGCCGCTGGCCGGCCTTCCCCACCACGTGGCCTCCTGGGCCACCTGGGCCTCCTGGGCCTCCGGTGCGCCCAGGTCTGTGTTCCTGGAGACAGGACGCAGCACAGCCCCCTCAGCACAGCCCCCCCAGCGGCGCCGCCTGGCCTCCCTACCCCAGGTCCTCAGACCTCTTCACTGGTGTGGGGGACACCAGCTCGGAGTCGGCCTGCCCTTGGGCAGGACTTTGTGGTGGCCCCTTGTTTCTGAGGAGGGCTATTTCCCTGGTTTCCTCAGATGTAGGGGAGAGAGGGAAACTGTTGGCCGCGGGGCAGAAACAACGACTGGCCATCGCCCGGGCCCTTGTGCGGGAGCCACGTGTCCTCATCCTGGACGAAGCCACCAGTGCCCTGGACGTGCAGTGTGAGCAGGCCGTGAGTACCGGATGCCAGGGCCGGGGACAGGCGCCTGAGGGGTCACATTGGAAGGACGAGCCTGTGCGGAGTTGGGCAGTGGGAGGATGAATGGCCACCAGTGGACAGATTATCAGCGCCTTCTTAGGGTGGGGGATGGGATGGAGAGTAGGTGCTTGGTGGGCTTTCCCGTGTGGCGTTCCCTCCAGGGCTGCCCTGCCCGTCATCTGGCTGCACAGCACTGAGGGCAGCGTGGAGCTTCCTCTGCTCTTCCCTGCCTTCTCATGTTTAATGGGGTCTTTACCATAAGCCATAGAGAGGGTGCCCAGTGGGCTGTGGTGTCCAGCCTGTTCCTCTCTTCCTAAACATGGTGACACCTCCCCTCCCAGGTGCAGGACTGGAAAGCCCTCGGGGACCTAACGGTGCTGGTGATCGCCCACCGGATGCAGACGATTCAGAGTGCGGACCGGATCCTGGTGCTGAGGCAGGGGCAGCTGCAGGAGCAAGCCCAGCTCATGGAGGGGCAGGACCTTTATTCCCGACTGGTGCAGCAGCAGCAGCAGCAACAGCAGCAGCAGCAGGAGCCTGAGGACTCTGGACCCATCACTGGGGCATCTTCATGAACCCGGGTAGCTCCTGCCTTGAGTTTCCCTGGGCTGTGCCTGGGAGTTGTTCCTAGAGCTGTGTTGGCTGTCTGAACCATGTGCGCTTCCTCCTGGTGGGCTTTGGTGCTATCTGTGTCCAAATACCTGGTTTCCTGGACCCACAGTGAGTAGTGTATGGTAAATATATTTTAAAATATTTTTCACGCAGTGTATAAATAGCACACATTATGTAGAAAAGTGAAAATGTGGGCTTCCCCAGTGGCGCAGCAGGTTGAGCACCACACTGTGAAGCTGTCCGCAGCCTCTGCAGTGTGGGTTTGATGCTTGGCCAGCCAGGGAGATACCCACATGGTGCAGCAGACCTCTCCTGCCTTGCCCGCTGCTCCCCTCAGCAGTGTCTTTGGTCCATCTGCCTGTTCTGCTCCCTTCTCTGTCTCTGGTGAATTCTCTCATCCTCCCGAGCCTCTGACTGTACCCCAGTTCTTGTGTAAATAAATCTTAAAAAAAAAAAAGAAACCTGAAAGTGATTTTTTTAAATCTTAATAACCATGGCTACTATTTTCCTGGGTAGCCTATTGTTTGAGATACATAATAGCTAAAATGACTTAAATATTCATGAGGTTGCCTTTTTTGTATCCTCCCCCATTTCCACTGGTGTCTGATATTTTTGGGGAAACTTGAGCAGAAGGGAAGCACGTAGTTCTCTAATTTACAGTGTTAAAACACTGATAATAATTACTACTTACAGAGCTTAATGAGTAGGAACTATGTGTTTTTCATCTATTATCTTACTTCATTCTTATCCTCAAACCTAGGAGGTTTGTATTACCTTATTTAGTCCTTATCCTGAAAAGTTAAAACCATTTTATAGAGAGGAAACCAAATTTGAAAAAGATAAAATAACTCTCTCAAGGTCACACAGTGGCAGATTTTGAATTTGAATCCAGGCCTGACCCCAGAGTTCATGACCCCAACCAATAAATTACATTGCGTCTTGTGTCCCTAATCTCTAATTCATAATGAGATCAAATAAAATTCATTTATTTCAGGATTTCTAGTGTTGAGTACCTCTGCATCCATCATGTTCTCTCTGGTAACATTGTTTTAACTTTCACTCACAGTTTTCAGTTTTCTCATCACCAGAGTTGATCACCATTTCTAGCCACCCTTCATGAAGTCTCTCCTTTTTCTAGAAGGCACAGAGGTTACTGTCACTTCTGTAAAATCCTTCCATTGCGCATCCTCCCTTTCTGCACAGGGCTCCCTGAGGGCACTCCAGGTTTTCCAACCTGACTGTCTCCCCCCTTCCTGTTGCAGTTAGCCCCACAAACTTCCTTTGCATGTGGTGGCATTCCCTGCCATTCCCTACACCACCTCCCTGATGTACCCGAAGTTCTTCAAGTCTTAACTCAGGGTTCAGGTCTTCCAGGAAGCTTTCCCTTATCTCCTCAGTCAGAGAAAGTGCCCTTTCCTCGAGCTCCTGGAAAGGTGAAGTATCTTATTAAGCTTTATGCCTTCGCCTGGCGCAGGGCTAAGTTCATAGTAGACAACAAATAAATGCCTGTTGGATAAATAAACAAACCTCCTTCCTCCACTGTCCTCATTCTCCACCCTCCTTGTGCATTCAATATTGAAAATCCAAAGCGGTGCACATCACTGCTATCTGGAGGGACTTAACTTTGAAGGTTCCTATTCTAGGAGAGTGAAACTTGCACATTCCCAGAAAGAGTAGATATTTTACAGCACTGTTAGAGGGATTCACCAGAGACAGAGTGGGGAACAGAACAGGCAGACTGACTGAAACACACTGTTGAGGGGAGCAGCAGGTGAGACAGGATTGATCTGCTGCACCATGTGGGTCACCTCCCTGGCCGGGGAGGATCAATAGCTTCATAGGTTGAGTCTTAACCCCTTGCGCCACCAGGGAGGCCCACCGGTAAAAAAAACATTTAAATGTGGATTTTGGGCACAGGGGAATGATCCCTATTCCTACATCCTCCCACGATGTCGTGGGTGGGGTGCAGACCTTATTATCAGTGAAATGCTGGAAGAGAAGGCAGGTCCACAGAGCTATCCGCATCCTGCTAGTACTCCCCACATGAAGCAGCAGCACTTTTTTTTTAAAGATTTATTTATTTATTTGTTTGTTTGTTTGTTTATACAAGCACTGGGTACAGTCAGAAGCGCGGGAGGGTGAAAGAATTCACCAGAGCCAGAGCAGGGAGCAGAGCAGGCAGACTGACGAAATACACTGCTGAGGAGAGCAGCGGGCGCGGCAGGAGAGGTCTGCGTGCCATGTGGGACCCTCCCCAGCGGCCGGGGATTGAACTGGCACTACAGAGTCTGCGGGCAGCTTCACAGCCCAGTGCTCAACTGCTGCGCCACCAAGGAGGCCCCAGCAGTGCTTTTTGTTGGAGAAATGACAGTGACCATATCAGTCACTAAAATCAGTGACAGTTCACATTTGTCACTCTGCCTTGGCACCCTGAGCATTATGGGAAGCCCACCCCTACCCCCAAGGATGCTCTACAGCCCAAAGTCGACCCCACAACTTCAAGTCTTAAGTGCTGCTGGTGTCGGGACCCATAGGGTCATATTTCAGGAAGCTGGGAGCCATGCGTTGGGGTTGGTCCCCATCACCTGGGGATTAACAGGAGGGGGCAATCCCTAAGGCAGAATCATGGGGTGGATGAAGTGCATGACTTTGGCTCCCATTCTCCCTATTCTGGGGGTGCAGAGTCCCGTCTGCCACCCCCTCCATGATGGCGTTTGTAGTTGGGTCCCTCCAGGAGTTCCTATGAGGACAGAGACACTGGCTGCCATGGTGGCCCCGGGGAGCATGGTTCGTGAACAACTGTTTCATGGTGCTACATAGCAGAAAGAGGAACACTAAGCCCCAGAAAAAGAAGCTGGCCTGGGGAGTGTGGGGATGGAAACCAGGCAACACCCTCTCCTGGCTGTGTGTCTGCAGAACCAGGTCTTCCTTTGGGGGTGGAAGGCACCCAGGATCATAGCACTGAGGCCCCTCCTGGTCCCATCTGTGAATGGGGCTTGACCTCTTTCCTCTAAAATAAACAACTGGAGGGTGGGGATCCCCTTCTATATATGCATGCTGCCTACACATCAATTAATCCTGTAAAACTATTTGGTTTAATATTTGATACTGTGTAAGAAATGAGCCAAGTGGGAAGATATGTTTTTAGTAAATGTAACAGATGATAGGAGAATCAGGTTCCTGTGCCCTGGGGACCTTATCTCACTGCTAGAATACTTCTAGCAGATCAGCAGGATGGGGGCCCCAGAGAAGGCACAAGGACAAAGCTCTCTCGCAAAAAGGACCTCACCTGGGACCCTGGGGTTCAGGAAGAATAGATTTGCCAGGCTTCCATGTTGCCAAGCTTCAGCCCAAGACCAGGAAAAAGTAGCTTCAACATCTTAGATACCGTGTTTTTTTTGTTTGTTTTGTTTTTTGGTGGTTTTTTTTTTTTTTTTTTTTTGGTAGATTCGAAATATCCAATCGCAGGGAATTTTCCTGAAGGGTGTAAAATTGGTTTGAATTTTGTTTTTCAGTCACAGAGCTGTCTGTTCTATGAAGAAAGGGGTCTCTCCTATTAGACCCTACACATGATCAAGATCTGGGCATCCCCTCTTATCTACTACAACTCAGTTAGTTGAAACATAGACCAAAAAGGTAGTCTATGGTGAGTGAACTTGAAAATTTTTTTTTAAAGATTTTGTTTATTTATTTATACAAGCACTGGGTACAGTCAGAAGCGCGGGAAGGTGAGAGAATTCACCAGAGCCAGAGCGGGGAACAGAACAGGCAGACTGACAAAATACACTGCTGAGGGGAGCAGCAGGAGCGGCAGGAGAAGTCTATTGTGCCATGTGGGACCCTCGCTGGCTGGCAGCCGGGGATCGAAACTTTGCTGCAGAGGCTGCGGGCAGCTTTGCAGCCCAGTGCTCAACCACTGCGCCACCAGGGGAGGCCCTGAACTTGAAATTTTGCAGCACTGAGCCTGAGAAAATCAGTGCTATGATTTTCTGAAATTGGCAATTATACTCAAAAGCAACTTTCCCCGCTCAGTTCCTGCACCATTTATATTTGACCTTAATGATTTTTCTGCTTGCAGATTCATTTTCTGCTTGTTTCTGTCATTTTTCACCCTGCCATCCCTCTTTGCTTCTAAAACTGTACAGGGCTCAGACCTGTCAAAGTGAGAGAGTGTGACCCCTGAATGGTGCTACACTCCGAGACAATGACTTGACTGTTCTCACTATAGACAGAAATCCAGGGAACATGTGTGGGAATGGGGACAAGATGAGTCAGGTTGAATTTATTAGTATGGCTCACTGAGCAGAGCTTCTGCCTTTAATGTGGCCATTTGGGGAGTTAGAAAGGCCACTCGGCTTTTTTTTTTTTTTTTTTTACATTTATTTATTTATACAAGAACCTGGGTACAGGCCAGATGTGCGGGAGGGTGAGAGGATTCACCAGAGACAGAGCAGGGAACAGAACAGGTAGACAGACTGAAATACACTGTTAAGGGTAGCAGCAGGTGAGACAGGAGAGGTCTGCTGCACCATGTGGGAATCTTATCTGTCGGCGAGGATTGAACTCGTGCTGCAGAGGCTGCGGACAGCTTCACAGCACCATGCTTAACTGCCGTACCACCAGGGAGGCCCCCCAGCATTAAATCAGTGAAGGCTGAAAATCAAGATTATCACAAATGATACAGAAAAGGGATATGACACAATTCAACATCCACTTCTGACAAAAACTCTCAACTGCAGGGGGCCTTGCTGTCCCAGCCAGATAAGAAGCTGGCAAGTAATTAAGAAAAGGGCCTCACACCGTGGGGCTGAAGACTTTTAAAGAGCTTCACACTGTGGGGCTGAAGAAAAGGGCCTCCTTTTCCCCTCCTACCAAAGTTGGTGATTCCTTCCTGGCTTCCTATGGCACTACACCACTAAGGCCGCCTGGTTCCCATCATTTATTACTATTGGTATCATATTGCTTGTCACCATGCTTATGCTACTTCTCTTCCCATTGTTTACCAAATTACTTTTCTGTGCTATCAAACAAACACATATTAAGTTAAAAATGATGCAAATGTTGGCCAAAGACAAAAAAGGGGGAAGTGCAGGGGGCCTTGCTGCCCCAGCCAGATAAGACGCTGGTGAGTAATCAAGAAAAGGGTCTCACACACATAACACCTCCTTGTGTTCTGGACTACTAAAAGGAAACCCACCATCATGATTTGTTGAAAGTTTCAGTGGTGTCTGAAGAAAAGAGGGAGAGCAATTAATGACTGATAGTAAGTAAAAAAAGAAGGAAAGGGAGAGTAGTTTTGTCTTAAAATTAAAATGTCTGGTTGTGTCAGAATGTGGAAAAATAGAAAAAAAACTTTAAAAATGCTTCAGGACCTCCCCGGTGGCGCAGCGGTTGAGCGCTGGGTTGCGAAGCTGCCTGCAGCCTCTGCAGCGCCGGTTCGATCCCTGGCTGCTCCCCAGCCACCGGAGGAGGGTCCCACATGGCTCGCAGACCTCTCCTGCCGCCCGCTGCTCCCCTCAGCAGTGTACTTCGGTCCTTCTGTCTGCTCTGCTCCCTGCTCTGGCTCTGATGAATTCTCTCACCCTCCCGCGCTTCTGACTGTACCCAGTGCTTGTATAAAAAAAAAAAAAAAAAATGTTAAGCATTCCTTTAAAAAATGCTTCAAACTTTTCTTATTATTTATTTAAGGAGGAGGCTAGGTTCCCCCCAGTAGAGGTTCCCCCCACTAAAGTTTTGCCATTTGTTCTTTTTAAAAAATAAATAAATAAAATATTTCTAAATAATAATATACAAAGTTCATTCATAGTTGTTAAAATAATGAAAAATAGTTAAATATAACTATATAAAACTATATGAATCATTAAAAGGCTTCTTTAAAAAACTTCCATAAAAAGAAATTTGCGGCCAGCTCTGGGTTGCTTATCAGGCATGCTCTTGTGCAATAATTATTTCCCATTGTCAAGTAGACTAAATTGTTCAGTGTGTAATTTTTAAGCAAATAATTTTCGTTGTCATATACTTACAATATTTTTATATGTATAAAAGACTATTATACAAGGACTATTAGCTGTCTTAGGTAATTGTTTAGGCTAAAATAATAAGTTTTTATTATCTATTAACTTTAAAGATCACCTCTTTTTCAAAACATGTAGGGGCCAAATGTCTATGGGAAAGAAATATACTGATTGTTTCTGTTTTGCTTCTATGCATATGATGATATAATCCCACCGCTTGCTTTAATGTATAAAGACAGACCCGCTGAGACCCTCAGCAGGAGATAAAGTGTCAGTGTCTCCTCATCCCCTTCCCCTAATCCCTCAGTTTCCCTGACGCCATCTCATCCTTTCAGGGAACCCCTGACATGACATTTTGCCAGAGCTGGTCTTCGGCACTCAACCAACTGGGAACATACCTATATGTAATAAAGGCCAGGCATGACAAGCCCACCACTAAACATAATACAGCTAAACATAATACAGAATGATGAAAAATTAAAAGTTTTTCCTCTACAATGAAAATGCCCACTCATTCCATCTTTATTCAACTTAGTCTTGAAAGTGCTAGTCAGAGAATTAGGCAAGAAAAAAAAAAGGCATCCAAATCAGAAAGGAAGAAGTAAAACTGCCACTGTTTGCAGATGGCACACTATGTATTGAAACAGTAAGAATACTTCCCCAAACTATTAGAACTAATAAATGAATTCAGTACAGTTGCGGGACACAGGATTAGAGGATCGGAACTTTCAGATTCATTCCCAACCTCTGGGAGAAGGGCTGGGGCTGAGCTCCGTCACCAATGTCCAATGAGTCAATCAAGCATACTCACATAATAAAACTGCCAATAAAACTTTTAAACCATGTAGTTGGCAGATTGTGGGGTTGGGGAGGTGGAAGGGGTTAGTGGCGGTAGAATGGACAAAGGTGGGGAGAAGGCACTCGCTTCCAGGTAAACACAGAAGTGTTCAGAGAAGTTCTGCACAGCAGAATTACTATTGTTGGGGGAGCCTGCTGCCCTAAAGGGAGCTGGGGTTTGGGGAGAGCACCTGTTTACTCTGCACATGGAGTTCCAGGACGTTAGAAGTTCTGCACACAGAAAGGAAAGGAAGATATGACTCCTTTCTCTTAGGACATGCTGGCTTCTGCGATGTTCTGCGATGTTTCCTACTAACCAGGAAAACTTGTTTTCAGCAGTAACTTATTAATCTCTATAAGCAAAAACACAATTGCACGCTATTTTCTTGTTCCTTTGTTCATGTCTTTAATAAAAGCTTGGACTGGGAGAGGGAAAGGCAGAGCTGCTCTCCATGGCACACTCCCCAGTCTTCCCCCATTGCACATTCATTTAGACTCTGAGTCTTTGTTAATGGCAGAGAACTTCATCGGCTGTCCTGACGGTGGCAGACTATAGTTACTAATAATGTATATTTGAAAGATACTAAGAAAATAAATCTGAAATATTGTCATCACAAGAAAAAAAAATGTACCTGTATGTGCTGATGGGTGTTAACTAGACCTATGGCAGTGATCATGTTGTAACACACACAGATGTCAATTCATAATTTTGTGGACTTGAATCAAATAATATGTCACATGTCAATTACATCTGATTTTAAAAAAAGGATTGTCACTCTTTGCAAAACAAACAAACCCCCAAAACCAAAAAATGACTTTTAGATCATGGGGTTCAGAGAGCTTCAGATTTGGAGGGACATGCACACTAACCATGGTGACAGAGGCTCTTGCACTCAGGATCCTTCCAGATCTCCCCTGTCCCCCTCCACCTGTTCACTCAAGCAAAGCATTTTCCTGAGTTCTGTGAATTGCTCTAGCAAACTATCAAGCTTGGGTGCCCCCTCAATTTGTAGACAAATTTAATGCTGTGCAAGTGTTGACTGAGAGGATCATCACTATGAGAAAGGGTTCATAAAGGAGCTTATTTTCAGTGTCAAAGCCAGGCTGCCTCGGGAGCAGGGCCATTAGCACACACTCTCCTGAGTAATCCCAGTGTAACTTATAAGCTACTGCGAACAGGCTGTGTACAATAAAAACATCACCTTCCTTGTTCTACAGCAAAGTATTTGTTTTATTTATTTATTTTTTAAAGATCCATTTATTTATTTATACAAGAACCAGGGCACAGGCCAGATTCGCGGGAGGGTGAGAGGATTCACCAGAGATAGAGCGGGGAACAGAACAGGCAGATTGATGAAATACACTGCTGAGGGGAGCAGCAGGCGAGACAGGAGAGGTCTGCCGCAACATGTGGGACCCTCGCTGGCCGGCCGGGATCAAACCAGTGCTGCAGAGGCAGTGGACACCTTCACAGCACTGTGCTCAACCGCCTGCACCACGAGGGGAGGCCCAGCAAAGTATTTGTTTTAGAAGCCAGTGTCTGGTAATTTTCTAACATCTCTAGGTAAGAGCTAGCTGAGTGCATTGTATACATTAGATTATCTCAGTGAGCAGATGCAATTACCTGTGAGAACTGCAAGAACTGGGTCATAAAATCGCTATTTTCAAATAGGTTCTTTGTGCAGATATCGGATGCTTTCATCCACCTGTATAAATAATATAAAATAACCAAAAGTCAAACACAGTCAAAGCATAGTAAGAATACATCTAGAACTGAGTGAAATAATACAATGGTCAGCAGAGAGAACAGGAAGGAAGAGGGAGCGGGGAGGGGAGGCAGGCGGGGTGTGGGCACAGCTGGTTTGGCGGTGGGTGAGAGGAACATGTGCACATCTGGGAGAGCAAAAATGTAACCTCAAAATTAAAACAAATAAATCCAAAAAAATAAAATAAAATGTCCTTTGTGGACATGCAGTTCTGGTCAAAGATTCCATCTTTTTTAAAAAATTTATTTATGCATACAAGAACTGGGGTGCAGGCCAGAGGTGTGGGGGGTG